TTAGCAAAGCCAGGGGAAACAGGAATTAACAAACCCGGTGTATTTAAGGCAGAAGAACTGCTGTGTCAGTCTCATTTTGGGATCTGAAGCCATTTCCTCCCCTGCAAAAGGAAAGGCAAGGAGCAGGAGATGCCAGAGATAATCCCAGGGCTGTGTCACTTACTTTGGAAGCCTTAGCAGGGCAGTGATTCCCCGAGCAGGCTGCCGAGGAAAATTCCAGAGGGCCATCGTAGCGCACCCCTCTGGGCTCCAGGCCATCCACCAGGATTTTCTTCAGCACCTGATACTTGGGCTTCTCATCATAAGCTAAGCCACAGACACAGGCCAGAAACTTGGCTACTTCACCTGCAGAGAGGATTTGAGTGTGAATTGCACCTAGAACTTCAGAGAGGGTTCATCCCAACACGACACAGTGGAGACACAATTGCAGCTGAACACACACTGCCAGCACAGAACTGACAGTGTCTCGTCTTTCTCAGAGGAGAAAAGGAAAGACAGACGTGGATAAACAAGTCAGCCCTTAAGTGCTCCACCTCTAACTCCTACAGTATCAAAAACTATCCAAGGGTAAAAATCAAAATATCGACAAATAACAAAATAACAAAGGCTTTTACACTGGATGGATCATAACGCTCCTTTAAATATTAATTACTGACAACTCTATTATTTATCTGCTTAGATGTTATACCGGGAATGCTTTGGAAAAAATGCAACTTTTTTTTAACTTCAAATACAGCTGTTGTTTTTGTGATTGCATCTTATAAAAGTAAAGCAGCAATATTTTATCATCCAGTGGTTCAAAAACCAGGGAAACCACTGAACGGGCAGAAATAATGCTGGTAGGAAAAACATATGGGGGGGGATCAAACTTTTCCTCCAGTCAAAGACCCAAGTGTATCCTAAAGCTGGAGTGCTCCACCAGATATTAGCATCTGGTCAAATCCCAGCAGCAAAGATTTATTAAATATGTATACACCCCATGAATATACTTTATCTGATACACAATGCATTCCAATAATTCTAATACAAAATGCTAGGGAAAAAAATCAAAAGTAGCTCCTGGCCTCTGTTTTCCCTGGGTTACTTCTGTATTTCAGTGAAGGAAGAAACAACGTGACACAAACTGTCCATTCATTTGCTTTTTCAAACTCTGAACACTGAGCAGTAAAACTCTGGTAAACAGTTCCTTCCTATTTCCACACTGACAGCTACTCCTGGTTCCAGGATAGCCATGGCTTCCCAACACCTCGGGTTACATATCGCCAAGATCCCTTATGTCACTCCCTGGGATAATCCCAGATGAGATTATTTATTTTTGAAGACTTTGTTAAATATGTGTTACTTCCAATTCTCTTCTGCCCCCCCGAGTGAGACATTTGGGTGTGTTTAGTGCCGGGCTGGGGAGCAGGTGGTGCAAGTGCGAGCACACTCACTGCAGCTTCGTCCAGAGGAACCCCACTTCGTCACCGACTCGGGGAGCTCGTCCAGGAGTCTGAAACAACACGAGAGCGAACAGCTTAAGGGGGGTTTGGAGCAGGTGATTCTTCATTTGGGATTTAGGAAGACAGCGAGTCTCAGTTCCAAAGGGAGCAGACCTCCGGGATAGCTAATGATTCCCAGCACTGCTCTTGAACCCTGATCTGCCCTCAGCTCTGTTTTTAACGCTTTGCACACTGCTGGTTTCACCAGGGTACCAAAGTTACCTAATTCCAGGCTGGCAGCTACAACTGCACTTTCTTTGCAAATGTTTTAAGAGTTCTAGCGGGAAAAAGAAAAGCCCTTTAAGCTGAAATGGCTTGTTCTGATTTCAGACTGATGATTCCTGTTTATATTTTGGAATTCAGGCAGCAGTTCTGCTCTGCCTTCTGGTCATCGAGCATCAGGTTCTTTCTGCCCTGTAGCAATGGCTCTCAAAATTCCACACAGGCAGGGCCAGAGGGGAGAGGGAGTCCCCCAAACTTCCCAGCGCACATCCTTGAACCTGTGTTTGCTAGGAATGCCAGCAACCCAAGGGTTAACAAAGGAAGAACTATCAAAGCAGCTCTATTGATTAAATCGATCTCCCATTGACGTGTGGGAGTGTTGCCCTTGCAGGGGGCTGTGCGGTGCTCGGAACTTCCAAAGGAGGGATATTGGACGTAGCAGAGGAGTCAACATTCCCAGCTGCAATCGGCACCATCCGCAGAGCACGGCCCAGAGCCGGAGCCACCGGAACGTGCCCATTGATTTCCACCATCAGCCATCCCCATTGTGCACCTCTGTTGTGACTTGCCCTACTTAAAAGTTTGCTGCCTCCTGCAATTGTGATGTTCCATTTCTGGGTAACTACAGGCTCCAGGTGCCGCTGCAATTAACTCTCTCAAGCCCCAACTGTGAAGGCAGAGGAAGAAAACACCACCACACTCTGCTGCTTCAGTGAGCTCTGAGTGAGTCACGCTGGGGAGAGAAGGAAAGATTTTCACCGAGTTCCTCACTGTTTTGGTATCTAATTGTTTGTAAAGGCACTAGGCTTATATAACATTAAAAACCTACAGAAAAACATCTGAAAAAAAGGATCATAGAGAAAGTTAAATAAATTGAATGCACGTGTGGAGAAACCTCCAAGAGGTGTTTGTCCTACAGAACCTACAAAGCACCCGTGCAGTTTAATGGGAACACACAACAACCTTCTGTACATGCACCAGGGCCTGGGCTCATTTACAAATGTTTTCTTTGAAAAAAAAAGAGTATTGGAAAAATACAGAGCAGACAAAATGCCTGTGTACTGTGCACTGGAATTCATCCTCTCTCTGCAGCAGCACAGACATAAACATGCAAAGGAGGGGAGACATGCACATAAAGTTCACATTTTAACTGCTTCCACCATCTCTCTTAATTAAGGAAAATTGTTGGAGCTTTCTCCTAAGGTGCTGTACAGCATGGAGAGCTGCCTTTTGCAGCCCTGTGGAGTGCTGAGGATGCTGCAGGGTTATGGGGTGGGGTGTGTACACGAGTGGGTTTTTACTTGGTTTTGGCAGCCTGGACAGCCACAGGGTCCTTCAGGTTCTGCTCCCAGGGCAGCTTCCCACAGAGCCATTGCAGCATGCAGTAGCCAAGGATTTCAAGGTCACCTCTTCTGGATGGGGCTAAAATGTGGGAAAGGAGGGGGGAAGAGAAAAGAAAATACAATTAAGAATAAGAACCTCGTCTTAAAAAATAGAAAGACTTTGATTGAACTGGTGCTGATGAAATATGAAAAAGCCAACTGGGCAAAGTGTTTTGTTTATTCAGCTGTACCAGCCCCAAACCGCCCCGGCACTTGGCCACAGGCCACAGACAGGCAGCGACTTGTTACTGCTGGAGTGAGGGTCAGCTTCCTCACCTCCTCCACCTCCATCCTTCCTCAGTCTGGCCTGTCACAGGGACTTGATCCCCATGGCCTCTGACATGATCCAGACAGCCCATAACCGAGTACCAACACTTTCTCAAAGAGCCAAGCAGTAAAACAAAGAAATAAATGTCTGCTGCTAAATTGCTAACACATGTTCCAGGAAGTCCATGGGGTCCACATTGGTCATGCAGGGACTCCGTGAGAGCAGACTAAACACTGATGGCCTTTCCTGTTCTCCCGCGGAGCCGTTTGAACTCGGATGCTGGGACAAAAGTGCCATCTAGTGAGCACTGACTCACCGAGCCCGCGGCTCCGGCCCCGGGAAGCCTCGGTTACTTGGAGCACAACCCAAAACGCACCGGCTGAGCAGCCTGGTGAGTCCTGGGTGAGCCTCCCACTGCTGCATCCAAAAGGAAGTTATCTGGGAACAACTTAATGCCACTCAGCTCACCCCCAGCAGAACGCAAATGCAGGAGATAAATTCGACCAAAATTAACCCCAACACGGTCTATACAGGAAAACAGGTAACTGAAGTTAATCCATGGACTGACTTTTCCAGGAGAAAGAGGTGGAAACAGTGCAATAGTCATAGAATTGCTACTGCTTTGCTGCTACTCAGAGGAAACCAAACTTGAACAAACTGAACAAGCAGGATCACTGCAGGATTGCTCTGTGCAGTTCGCATGTCAGAGCCAGGAACTGCTTGTTGTGATTAAAGACAGACACATGCACAAGTAAAATTTATGCTTTTCCAAAATGGGTTTGTGCTTTCCAGGAAGGAAAGAAGAGTTCAGGCTTGTTGGGTGCTTTCTATCCACTGTAAAGCCCAGTAGCTGAGCACTGTGCTGCTAATCTGGCTGTAAACAGATATCATATTTTATGGGCCTTCATTAAATAAATTCCAGAAAGTCACTCAGCAAACTTATCTTTTAATTTAAGGAGTCATCCGCTAAAAGCTGCGGTGCCAACACATCATAACTGCACCTTGTTACCCTCCACACGTCATCGTAAGAGCACCAGATTAGTTTTTATACCTTCCCTATCTTAACTGCTCTTAGGCCAGGATTATTGAAGGCCCTGGATCCCACACAACTCCGCTCTGTCCCTCAGGCACCGTTTATTTTCTGCCCTGGATTCAGCACCGTCCTAATGCAAGGCTTGGCTCCCATATTAAAATAAAAACACAATCTCCACCACTTGCTGCTCTGTAGTGATTTCTCCAGCCATAAATCTCCCCTTAACTGTGGAACGATTCCATTCATACACATGTGTTCACAACTCCTTTTTCCATTATGGCAATTCCAGATTATATCCACATAAGCCAGAGGTTTTGACGGCAGAGCCCCTCCTTTTCACACAGGGCTGTTCTGGCACCTGTTTGTGTAAGAGGGGCTACAGAAAGTGGCCCTTTGAGGAAAATTGTCAGAATTACCATGGATGGCTTTTTCCCACAGGGGATTAACTGCTGTGCATCTGTAAATAACCCCAGGCCAGTCAGATTCCGCAAGGCAAACCAAAATAACTCATTTTCTCACCAAACACACCCCAGAGACTAAAGCTGACGTCACAGTGAACAGTTTGGCGGTGACTAACGACCTTGTCCTCACCTGCAGCTCCTCCAGCCCTTCCTGACTAACCCCAGGACAAAGCCAGCCCAAAGCAGGAGCTGGGAGCGAGGAAGCCTCGGACAACACCTGCCCCAAGCCACAGGACAGAGAGGTACGTGCAGCTCAACCAAAGCCCCAGAAAGGCCAGGGAAATGTTTCACAGACACAAACTCCCCATCCTTCATCTGCCAGGTCACCACAAGAGCTGCTAAATAAAGACATTTCCATGTGTGTGTCAGAGAACCACATGGAAATGTCAGTGTTGGATTCTTTGCCTGTGCTTGTTTCTCTCTGCCCCATCATCAGCTCACCATAAACTAAATTCCTCAACTTTTAAAATCATTTACATTCTTGTTAAAAAGTATTTGACTAATCTTTAATGAATTAATATTGCCTATGAACAATGGAATTATTAGATTTTCACTGCAAATAGATAAATTTCAATGATATGTTTACTTGGAAAAATAAATCTGCTCACACAATTGAAGATTACAGGAATTCTTGATAAACATCAACAGAGAGAAATCAATCTGCCTTCATTTTAAATACGACAGCCAGGCAAAAATAAAACAATTCTGCTTGATAACTTGTCACTGTTATGGGAGTGTACACTCAAAACAGGGCTTATTTAAATCAAATTCTCTTCTTTGCAGACTAAAAACTTGCTGGTGGGTTTTTTTTCCTTCTGTTTTTAGTAGATGTTTGATTTCTGCTTTTCTACTCACAGGAATTTTTGAGTATTATTTTAGTCTCATGAGATACAATTTAATGGGAACATATCGGTGGTATTTTGTTTCACAATAATTTTAGAGTTTAATTTTTTAATTTAAGGAGTTAAGGTCTGATTCTGTCCTCGGTCCTGCCAAGATAAATCAGGACCAACTCCACCAAAATTAACGAACTCACAACCACATCACTGAAATCAGAGTTTTATGTGCACCACAAACACATTCAACATGCAGGCACAGGGTTCAAAAATACCTCAGAATAAAACTGAAGCAATTCATCCTGAGAAGAAAATACACTGGATTTACAACTACCTGAGCTCTAAATTATATCCAGATTATTATTTCAAAATAGATCATAAATGATATTGCAGCAGCCACAATATGCTTTGAAAACTAAACTGCTCCCAGGAACTCACCTGAAACCCACATAAAAATGGGAGTTTTCCTCCAGAGCCCCTATTTAGCTGCTTTTCTCAAGCCTTTTGTAAAGATCTGGGAGGCCAAGGAGTGGCAGATGAAATGCTCTGCTCGTTGTTAATTAGCACTGCTACGTTATAATTTCACTATTAGTGATTTTTCCAATCAGAAGCTTTTCATCAAAAGGATCATTTTGGCTGCTCGTGTTTCATCCTCGTGCAGGGGCACCTCCATTCTCAGTGGCAGCACACACCACAAACCCCACAGACACACCTCACACCATAACTGTGCCCCCAGGAAGGAGAGGAGGGTTCCCACGGCCACGGTGAAATGTAACTCAGATAAAAATGTATCATCCCCAAGTGACAGGACTCAAGGCTGAGGTGATTAAAAAACCAGGCGAATATAAGACTTGCCAAAAATCAGTGCCTCTATTAGGGGCAGCAGAAAGGAAACAAACAAAACGGGATAATTAAGAACTGCTTGCCCCAGGTCCTGGTCAGCCTGAGGAGCTCACTGTGACCAACTGCTGGTGGGCAGCTACAGGGGAAAGCTCAGAGAAACACAGTCACATTTACAACACATTTTGGTGCTTGGAAGCCATTCTGGAGTTCTCCAGTCTCAGGCAGGGCAGGTGCCAGCTGGGAACAATCCCTCCTGTCCTCGTGTGCAGCCCTGCACCCTCAGCTTGGCACGCTGGAGAAGCACTCCCTGACAATCACCACCACCAGGGAATGCTGGAAGGCAAACCCAGTGCAGACGTGGCATCACCACAGCTGGAGCACAGCAACTCCACAGGGCACACAGGGACTTCTCCTGCACCAGCCGTGGCCTCTCTCCTAAGCTGGGATCCCACAGCTCCACACTGGATGGCTCATGGAGCAGAGCTGGCAGGAGGGAATGAGCAGGACTGCTGGAATGGGATGGGCTGAAAGGAAGAGGGCTGGGGTCCTGATCCAGTGGGGACTATGGAAGATGCAAGGGAAGTTCACCACGAGGTGTGGGTGGGAGAGAAAACGGTGGTGGCAGGAGAGGAGGTACCTGGTCGGAAGCAAAAGGTTCCAAGCTTGCAGTGAGGAGAACGGGTGGCAGGAGAGGGGACGGGGAGATTTACTCTTCTCTCACATCTGTGTGGCAGAAAAAGAGAGTCACAAAGGTGAGGGCCTGACAAGCAGGTGTGGGGGAACACGTCTCTCCAGTCCTAGTGTGGAGAACAGCCAAAGTTGAACAGCCCCTTCCCAGCCACACTGCTCAGCCACGACAGAAAGTTGTAACACTCCTCTTATTTCTGCTGCTTCTGGACATTCCTGGCAGGACAGAACAAGCTTGGAGAGGTGGCTGTAGGAACCTATCCAATCTTCTCCTGGATAAAAAACTGACTCTTCTTTCCCTTACAGCCACCTCCTGCTCTTTCTTGTGCTGGGCACACATTTCTAATCCAACTCCCAGGAACTAAACCATCTCTTTATTTATGTCACACTGTAAAGTTCCACCCATTTTTCGCCAGACCGGTTATATTTTCCTTTTATTATTTAGGATTTACAGTTTGTCCTGCACACAGTCTTTGGGAAACACATATCAAACTGCAGCAAATCAATAATTCATTTGACCAACAACAAAAAAAAATCCTGCAGGCTCCCTGTGAATCCTAACTATGCATGGACAGGTGCCAAATAAACCTCTTGATCCAGAGCCATTTAGAGCTCTGTTCTCTGGAAGCAGGCTCAGAAGGAATGTGTTTCCATAGGTGTTTATATTCCTGCACATCCTTCCTCACCAAATGAACCCTGCATATATTCCAGTCAACCCTTGCATGGAACAGAACAGGAACAATGGCCAGGCAGGGCTGTGTTTTTAATATCAAACAGCAGCAGCTCTGTCAGAGCAGGGGTAGAACAGGAAGAACTGCAGAGCTTTCCCTGCCCTCACCCAGAGCCAGCACTGCCCGGGACAAACAGTGTCCAAGCCTCCTGATGGATCTCAAGGAGCACATGTTGGAATAACCCCATGTGAGGGGCACAGAGAAGCTTGGCAGAAATCCCCATGGCTGAGTGAAGCAGCTTTCCTGTTCCAGGTGTAGATACAAGTCCTGCCTGGATCTGGTGGAGCACCCGATGTTCTGGGTGGCAACCCTGCTCAGAGTCACTGTGAAACACTGGGGAGGAGGAGCAGAATCCCCTCTGAATCGATGGCAAACACAAATATCTGCTGGGGGGAATTCAGCACAGACAGTTCATACTCTTGTGTTCATCAATGGTAGCAAATTAAAGCTGGTCTTACACACTCAATGCCCGGGCCTGGAGTATTTAAAAGGCCTCAATATGTTAAGCGTGGTGCATCTCCAGAGAAATGAGGTATTGACTGCACGCCTCAGTGAGCAGGGAATCTGCAAAAATCCATCGCAGCCATTGATCCAAATATTACTTTTTAACACTAACTATGTAACAATTTTTTAAATGTACACTGGGTACCGTTATAATTCTCTTTAATTATCAATCAACAAGCCAAAGTGTAACACTGTTTATACAGCATGGTCTTTAAAAATGGATCCAGTGAATACACTCCAACTATGCTCAAACTGTCAATGCAGTTGGGCTATAGGAAATTGCCATCAAAATAAACAGGGTTGCAGTTTAAAACACCCACACACTGGCTGGGATGGGATCCTGCCACCAGACACTGGCTTTATGCAGCTCCAAGCATTGCCAAGAGGCACTTCTGAAAGCAACAAATTCATAATTTTATTAAAGTTTCAGCATGTACCTCAAATTTCTGTATATATTCAGTAGCTGCTTCATGAGCAAGTCAAAATGTGCTCATTTGTCTGGCTCAGTGCTGCTCAGGGGGGCTGAGATACTTATGTTGCTACACACATTTGGGAAATGCCCTCTGGAAAAGATCTCATTTATATAAAATAACATTTAAAAATTAGAACTACATTCCTAGAGCATCGAAATTAAAAACCACTCCACTGTGAAAAGCTGGGTACCACCAGAATGAGGGCTGGCCGTGCAGCTCTTCTTTGCCAACAGTGGTGAAACATTTTTCAGAAGAACACCTGAACGTCCTGAAACTTCTCCTCAACTCTAAACCTCACAACAAGGGATGAGGGGACCCAGTCACTGTGTTCTGCTCTCTGGACCTGTGCACTCTCCAGCAGAAGTGGCTGCAGATGCACCTTTTCCCTGGGATGTTGAGAGATCTACTGCAAATGGGAAAACTGGGAATTTGACCTCAACGGGTTCGGGCTGTTTGTCGTGGTTTAACCCCAGCCAGCAGGTAAAGCACCACACAGCCACTGGTGGGATGGGAAGGGAAACTGGGGAAAAAAAGGGAGAATTGAGGGGTTGAGATAAGTACAGTTTAATACTTGAAATAAAATTCAAAAAATAGTAATTAAAAGGCAGACAACAAAGAGAGAGGGGAATAAAATGCAGGAAAGACCAGTGGTGCACAATACAATTGCTCAGGCAGCCACCTGAGCAGCAATCAGCCCCTCCCAGCCAACCCCCCAGAATATCCACTGCCCACGTCATTCCACGTTATGGAATAGCCCTTTGGCCAGGTCAGCTCAGCCCCCTCCCAGCTCCTCACCTGCAGAGCATGGGAACACCACAGTCCTGGATTTAGGGAAAGCTCTGCCCAGCAACAACCAAAGCATCCTGTTATCAGTGTTATTCTCACCCTAAATCCAAACCACAGCACTGCACCAGCTACTGGGATGAAAATTAACTCTCTTTTGGTTTCTGGAGTTCTCCACTTGCAACCACGTCCATCCTGGCTTTAGCCACTTGAGGGGGTTTATCTAAGGCACAGATTGCCAAACTTACCTCACACTTCCACCTGCAACCACATCTGTAAGACTTCCCTGCGCTTTCAAACCAAAGGAATTACCTGTCCTGTAATCACCAGACACTACCAAACTGGATGTTATAACCATCCAACTGCCAAATCCCAAACACTCCAG